AACTACAATTCCAAACCTCCACTGCCTTGTGGCTATATCCACTGATGGAAAAGGCTTCAGGAGTTAACCTCGAGGCCAAATCCGGAACCGGAATCCTGGAGGCAGTTCGTGTCATTCTGGCAACTCCTGCGACATTGCTGGAATCAGTTGTATTGGCTCTTGCCTTTCCATTGGACTATTTCAGCGATGTGGAGAAGGGGGATTTGCTGCTTGGGTAACAGCCTATCCTCCATATTATTTTACCCAGGCTTTGTGCTCTGGAGAGGACACTCCAGCTTCTCATACAGCTTTGAAGTCCTCCATACAGAGCATGTTACTATAGTCTCTCGAGACTGAAGGATGCCTATGATGACCATCTCATGCTGCTGCTCATGTTGATCCATCAAAACTCATCAGGCAAAACAAAAGAGGACCGTTTTTGTTTCTGGCCCATATCAGCTTCTGCATATATTCAATCAGGAGTCTGTTCCATCCAAATTTCCACCTCGTGGCATTTAGAAAAAATGCACAGCAAAATGTGCATTTGTTTTTGTACATTATGCACCCTAATGTATGCCTTTTCCCTTCATATATGCATTTATATATGCCATTTGTAAGCCAACTAAGAAAACTGCACACGATTCAAAGCCAGATCACTGTGAAAGAAGTTCTGATTTAAAATGCAGATTAAATGATGTCTCTCCCCCCCCATACACACTAAAGCTTTTCAGTTGAGAAATTCGAATCGTACTGTTCCAATAAACACGATATCACCTCATATCTTTTCCTGCCACTGAAGGCCAAAGCAAAATATTTACTCTAGGCTACCCCACTAAAGGCCCTTTGTGCTAAAGCAAGCTCTTTTAAGCCAGTTAGCAAACGTTGATGTTATTTCATTGCTAACAGTGCAACATCTTCCTCCTACACTAGAAACCAGAATGTCTATTTCTGAGTCCTTCATATCCCAGCTCAGAATCAGACCTGGGTTGTATCATCCATACCAACCAGGTGCTTCTTTTCATGCTTATATATTGCAACATTAGTCTTGCTTGCCTTACTCGGCCGACACAGCTATGTGGTCGAACCAGAATGTACTCCACTGGTTTGCCACAGCAGAGATTGGATAAGCAGGAATGGGATGAATAATTTTTTAAAATAAGAATCATGAAACTTGACACACAGTCCCAAATACTCATTACAGACACACCTACCAGGGTGTGTGCATGCTGGGTACAAATATGAGAAATGCTGTAGGAAGTTGTTGAAACCTAACAAAGAACTCCAAACAAGATTGGAGAACTAACCTCCCATCTACTGGTAACATATTTATTTCTGCTTTAAAAATGTAAAGCACTCCAGGACTTTCAAAGGAATTTGTGTGGGGCACTCTCTCCTGAAGTTCAAGCGCAGAATGTTAAAATAAATCAGCCTTGTTATAAACAACTAGCCTAGGGGGTTCTGGGAATTATGGCCCCAAAAAGTAATTTTCCTTGGGTCTAGATTAGTCTATGTATAGGTTTGAAAGCAGTTTCAGAAGAATAGAAAGCTGTCTTTCTGTTCTTTGCCTCCTCTACCAGTCAGTCGTCCTTTTCAAAGAAAGGAGGAGCCACTTTGCTAACTGGGTAGTATCCTGTGTTTCCATACTTGAACACCAAAGAAAGAGACAGCTTTCCTTACTCAACAATTGGGGAGGGGGCAGCCTGTAGCTTATGGACAGCTTGCTTCCCAATCTCTCTCTCTCTCTCTCTCTCTCTCTCTGTGTGTATGTGTGTGATGCTCTGCTCTGGGAATGGCCAAAAGACAAAAACGAAAAAGGCACACATCTAAACCTGCTGCTCACCCTTTAAAACAAGACATGCATTCCCTGCATGTCTTTTTTTTAAAACTGCCATTTTCCCTTGGAAACAAAATATGCATTCCGTCCACATCTTATTTAAAGCAACATTCCTGGAAGCAGGCTTTCACAGTGCACTGGCAGCTCATCCCTTGTTCTAAATGAAGAATGGCAAAGGGGTTAGCAAATTTGGCAGTAGCAGGGGGTGCACCTCTCAGAAGGGTTTGGATGTGCCAATGGAGCCAGCATAGAGACAAAGGCTAGTGACCTTTTCAGGCAGTGTGGAAAATGCAGCTCCGGGATCTTTGGGTTTATTTCCAAAGTGTTCTCCGTGCACCTGAGGGCCAGAGCCACAAATGCGACTAATAACTGTGTACCACCAAGTCAAATTCTGACTTATGGTGACCCTTTTCAGAGTCCTACGGGTAAAGAATACTCAGAAGGGGTTTACTTTTGCCTTCTTCTGTGAACATCCTGGGAATGTGCAGCTTGCCCAAGGCCATATAGGCTGGCTCTTCCAGGATGCACAGTGGGGAATTGAACTCTCAACCTCCAGCTCTTTAGCCAGATGCCTAATTCATAGGACCATTCAGCCAACAAAAGCCACAAAAGCTTTGCCAAAAAAAAACTTTGCCAATCTTAGAGATGCCATAAGAGTTTCTGCTGCAATGAACTGCTGTGAGAGCACCCTTGAGGGGAAAAACATTTTACAAGGCAAGAGGGAAAGCGATTGAGTTGACAGTGAGACACACTTGGAGAATATTAAAGACAACTTATCTGACTGGCATCATAGTGCTGATGTACCCCTATTTTTTTCCCCTAGCAGAATATTTAGACACTTTGATTATCCTCCCTCTTCAACTGCGGCCAGAAATTAAAATATTGTAATGCCCATCCTCAATATTGCACCACCTGTTCAAGCTCAACTATTACATTCACAAGACATTGGTGGAAAATACCATAAGAAGGAAAAACGAACCAACAACAGCTCATCTCTTAGTAGTTCTGCCTATGACTTCAATCACTGTGAGTGGTTTGTGATGGAAGTGCTATTCTGTCACATAGCACTTATCCTTCCCTTTGGAGCACAGCATTTGCGCTGGATTGTAGGCTGGTGATACTGGTATTTTGGCCACTCTTGCAGTGAGGTTGCCAGTGTAGGCAGCTTCTGGGCATGGAATAGATGGAAATCACTGTTTTTTCACTTCACACAGGAAAATGACTTGTGTGGCATCTGCTGAGATGTGCACAGTCCAAAATATGTAGCGACAATACCCAGGCTTATTTTTTTCTCATTATGCGTAGCAATGTGAGGCTTACACTATCTGGACTGTACGAAAAATACCAGTATCAACCAGCCTACAATCCGGTACATATGGTGGAACAAATGCTGTGTCTGGATAAGCCTACTAGGAAGAATCAGAGCTCCTAAACATGTAACATTGGAATCTCCATTAAGGGGAAAATAATTTAAACAGAATAGGTTTTTTTCCCCTGCCTCAAGTATTGTTGTTGTTGTTTAATCATTAAGTCGTGTCCGACTCTTCGTGACCTCATGTATGCCTCAAGTACGGAACACCCATAAAGAAGTCCGGGATTAAAATCCATGTCGATCCCAACCCTAACAGGTTTTGCAGCTAGATGTACTCTCAGACTTATCATGGGTGACTGTTCTGCCCACATCTTTAGCTATTTCTTCACCCTACTTATAAACACAACTAGAGCGGAAACAAGGAAACAAAACCAACAAGCCTCAATGCACATGTGCATATATTTACACAGCAGTGAAGGATAACACTCTGGCATTGCCCTGCCCCACTTTGGAGATAACACCCATTCCACCTTAAGAATATGAGCATTTTTTTGTTTTCCTTTCTATACAAATCCTGTCCTACTGTAATTCAGCATTTAAGAACTGTCTTCTCCACCCCCACCACCTGCTCCCATTTCCCACTCTGACAGCATTTTCAGGCAGTCTATGAACGCTGCAAATAAAATAATTCAAGACTTCATACATCTAACAAAACAGCAGCTACTTGTCCGCATTTGATGTCAAAATAAATCTGTTCAGTCAGTGATGTGTGAGAAGACTCCTAATTTTGGTGCTACAGGACCAGCTCAGAAACAAGACAGATCCGGTCAGCAATGAGTTCAATGGGGCTTACTTCCAAGTAAGCACACATAACAGGCCAGCCATAAGTAGGCAGCAGCAAGCATCTGTGTACGTATCACATAGGGTATATTCTATATAGTAGACATGTGTAAAATATACTGTATGTAACCACACTGTAAAACTGCTGTTAAGTGGAAGAATTAGGCTAGAATTACACAAAATTTATTTATTTATCAGTTTGGGGAGCCAGGGTAATATACTTAGAAGTAGAGACTGATCTGGGTTCAGCAAGTCATAACACTCAATGGGCAACTTCGGGTCAGTCACTTGCTTTTTATCCTGGTCCACCTGAAAAGGTACCTGATGGGGAAAGAAGGTCATCTTTATTACCTCAAACGGAACGCAATGAAGAAATAATAGACTTAAAAGAAAATAAAATTAAGCCCAGAGCCAGTGTTTTTCTTGGACACATTTTTTTAAAAAAAAACCACATTTCTGAGCATGCACAGAGTGCCTTCTAACTCCTCCGGAGGAGTAAACGGAGGTCAAATTGGGGGGTTACAATTTAAGCCTTGCTAGAGCCTTAAGCCGGATCCGCTTCGGCTCGAAGTCTCTCCGCTCCAAGAGCCCCAAACCGGATCCGCTTCGGAGCGAGGGCTCCGGGCCGAGCGCACCTCGCCTGACCTAAAAGGAGGAGAGGCACTTTGGACCAAACGAGGCGTCCCCTTCTTTAAACCGGCGTGACTGGAAAGCCGGGACTGCTGAGGGGAGGACAGGAAAGTGGGCGCGCAAAGGCCGCGCCGCCGCCCGGAGAGAGCGAGGGAGCGAGGAAGCGAGGCGAAGAGGGCGGGCAACCGGCGGGGCGGCGCC